CTCTCTCTCTCTCTCTCTCTCTCTCTCTCTCTCTCTCTCTCTCTCTCTCTCTCTCTCTCCTGCCAGAAGACGGCAGTGCACGTAACGTAAAACATGCAATAGCTACTACTGCCGACCCTACTATATTTACTTCCAGAATAACTTTGAAAGTTTCAGCGACAACCTTCCGTCTTCTTCGCGCGCTGCCTTTCAACGCGAACGCCCTTTTCCATTCGTTTTTCGCTCTCTTTAGTAACCTCAGCCTTCGTAACCGCGAAAGAGAGAGGCAATGGAATAATAGAGAGAGAACTTATATGTACCGCAGTGGCTATAGCACACAATGACACACTTTAACCCAAGACTACTAACAACTGTCTTTTTAAAAGGGTTGTTTTAGAAATTATCGCCTCCATTTCATTAGAATTGTCCTATTTATGCAGATATTTGATGACATATTTTACATTTTCTTGTTAAATAATAATTTTATTTATTATTCCTTCTGCTCGTTAATTTCCTGTTGCTCAACAAAAAGATTCTAAGAGCAAATAATTGAAGAATGCTCGTGAAAAAAAGCGCATATTAGTTATTACCAATATTGAAAAAAGATGTTAGTAGTCTAGAGTTAACCTAGTTGCGCAGCTGTCGACAGCAAGCTCTGAATATTTCTAAGGGTATGTTTACGAGCGCATCGAGGCGCTTGTGACACGACGGCCGTAAAACCGCAAGATGAAAAGAGTTCGTCGGTGCGATAACGCCAGAGAGACGATAATGTCGTTATAATTAATAGCTCCTTTTTTTCGTCGGGTTTACATCCCGAGCGCTATGTGCACTGTTACATTAGCTCGTCGCCCGATTAATATGACGGAAGTGCGGCGCATTTTTTTCGAAACACTCGAATCTTGTTTCTAATAAAGAGGAAAACGGACCAGGGGAATGCGTAAAATATAATTGAATTTTATCTCGAGCAAACATATTTAATCATAACAATCCACACACTCTCTCTCTCGTAATTGCGATTTAAATAATTTTAAATTAAATATTATAACGGCAAGAGTGTCCGACACGCCTCATACGTGACGAATGAGTGGAACTTGAAAACCGTGAATTAAAGCTCATATAAATAGGTAACATTTAATGCGACCGCAAAGTAATTTCGCGCCGCGGAATCATAAATTTCAATGAGGCGGCCAAAGTAACTCGGACAAATACGGAGCGGCCGCACGTCCGGAAGCTCCGGCGGTACCGAATAATCCCAAAGCGGACGCTACGGCATCATCCTTCTGGAAACCTTTAACAGGTGCTCGATCTCCCGACGAATAGATCGTAAAGGTGTGTCTAGAGGCAACGGGGTTGACGACTGTAATTCAAACGGATTATACCCTGGGGTGTCTGAGGGATGAGATCCAAATGAGTCGCTACCGCCACGAGATACCGTCGCTACTTTTAGGATCTCGGACCTAAACGAACTTCGCCGATGTTTTAACGCGAAACGCGCGAGAACTTTTATATAACGCCATACAGATCCGTCGCGTCAATTACGTATACGCTGATTGATAGACGAGTCGTCGCGGAGCACGCGCTGCTATTATAACGCGAATAATTTATCACGGCGGATACGGTCCGTCGGAGCGATCCGTTATTTTCGATGATTCGTGTGCAATCACGCGGCACTTGATTGCTTGGCCTTGCTACATGGTGACGTGTTAACGGCGCAAACCTCTATGAAATGCTCAAGGGTTAGCGAGAAAGTACGCGAGCTGATCGAATGTCCTTCCCTTCCTCCCTCCCTCTCTCTCTCTCTCTCTCTCTCTCTCTCTCTCTCTCTCTCTCTCTCTCTCTTTCTTTCCCTCGGGAAGGACGAACGAATCACTGCGACCTAAAATCCGTGAAGCATAGGCAGCGCGCCGGAAAACACGAGCTATCGGGAAAAAAGTTTCGAAACGCCGTCGGAACGAAGTCGGGAGTTTATTCGCAACACGCGAGCTCCGCGACTTTATTCTCGCGAATTTACTTTCGATACATCGAAAGAAGGAGGGGGGAGGGAAGGGAGAGCAAATTACACGCCGCGAACACCAGCAGTGACTCGTTCGTCGTATCGGGTTGAGTTCAAATTTCGCGTGCCGAGTTGGTTGATTTCACTTGACTATGTCTTGAAAGTAAAAGCCTCGATGTTGAGCCGATCGACCGGTTATAATAGCGCCCCGTCAATCCATCCTCCCTTCGATAAGCAAATATCCTTTATCAACGTAACCGGGTGATTATCACGGCCGGTTGTTTATCGCTTGTCTAGCGAGGAAATTACTAGCCCGTAATTACGCCATGCGTCAGTTTACCTCGGCTGCCAGTCGGTAGTCTCTATCTAGTGACAAAAGACGGGAATTCCGCGTGATCAAATGGAAGGAGAAATTCGCTCGACACGAAGGATTCTACGTCGACAGAGTGAGAGAGACATAGAGGTAGATAAATAGATAGAGAGAGAGAGAAGAGAATGAGCGAGTCGGTTCCGCTAATTCCCCACGTTCGCCGTGCTGGACCACATAATATGACGCGAAGTCGAGTGCCGGCTGGTTCCCCGCACTCTGCACCGGTTTGGACGATATCCTTTATCTGCAATCGCTATAGCGCAATTGAGAGCAACCGCAAGGACGGTGCCGACGATCGATACCATCTCAGGACAGGCGTCGCAGCTTGTTTATTGCCCGACCGCCGCGGAAATTACGAAGCTACAATTACAAATTAGTGCACACTTGATTTGCCAAACAAGTAGCAACACGCTGACGGCGTACGCCGCAACTGCGGATTGGATTTATCCGGACGGACTTCGGTCGCGCGGCAACAATTTAACGCGAGTCGATTGATCTCACGATATCCTCGAGCATCAAAGTTACGATCGCAATGAACGAATGAAATCGTTGGCTGCGAATATAGACCTACTAAGAATAGACCGAGCATGAGGCGCGAAAGATCAGGTAGAAAAAAACGGAAGATAGGTGTTGTGTATCTTTCTCTCTCACTCTTTCCTAGAGTTAAAAAAAGAAAGCTACACGACATCTGCTTTCTGTCCTTTTCTACCTTTATCTTTATTGCCAAGTAAAGGACACGCTCGGTCTATTCTTACAACGTTTATAGTTGCGAATATCAGTTTGCGCACTCTTTATCGGAATAAAGTTGCAACGCTTGAAGTTGTCGTCGTTGAGAGCCACTGCGACGTGTATGAGCAGTAATCGGGTTATGACAGTACAAAGTGTGACATTTTTAAAATCTGAAAAAGAGAATTTATTGTAAGTTAAGAGAACGCGTTATTTCGAAAGGTAACTTTTATATATTTGTAACTGCGGCGTTCAGTTCCAACTGCTTGAAGCGTTGCAACTTCATTCGATAAAAAAGTACGCAAAATTTTACGTGGTTGTTTGGCGAGATGGTAGAGGAATTTTGTGTTCAATTTCATGAGTTCTATCTGCACATATACACGCACACAACGGGTCTGTTATACATTGTCAGACACCCCGTACAGGTGATGACTATACAAGTTTAATTATTATATATATAGTTTTCGATATAAACTATTTTGTAATTGCTGCAACTAAAGTTTTAGTTGCGATAACTCCAAAATAGTTTATCAAAAATAGTTCAAACTATGTAGGTTAATTGATGTGATTTTATTCGTTTATTATATTTTCGTCGCTTCAATACGAACCTTGTATAATTACCATCACCATGTCTTTTTCTCTGAGAAGATAAGTGAGTGTGAGAAATCGAGAAACACAATCGTAGGCGGTGTGTCGATGTGTATGTGTGTGTTTTAAATTCGAAATCATATCAACGGCAAATGAACTTTCTTTCGATTAAATGAATATCAAGGAGTTGCTATTACCTCGAATCCTCTCGACTGGGTTCGCTCCAGGAGCGACGGGATTAAGAACGTTTAAGGACGGCCGTCATTGAAATTAATTCTCTTAGTTCATAATTAAGATTAGGGTCTCTTTATTATAACAAATTTAAACGGAGATTAAACCGTCGACGCTAGCCGCGCGATGCTCACCCGTCGCGTCTTGCAGCTGAATATCTACGTGCCGTGTAATTCTCAATTAATTAAAAAATTAGAACGACCGATTGAAAAACTGAGGCGACCTCTTAATAACTACCAGTTTGATAATTTGAGAGACGTCACACACATTCGGTCGATGAAGTCATCTCATGTAATCTATAAATGCTGTTACGCGGATTGGAACATGGTCTCGAATGCCTGGCTTCATCTTAGGGTCATTAAAATTGCAACAGCCGCGCTAAGATTGAAGATTCCATCGCGAGTGCAATCGTCGCTTAGCGCATTTTTCAACCGAACAGAGCAGGATAGGGGGAGAAGTACTCTATAACGAATTTAGGTACTTCCCGTACGTCGCATTTCTCTTCGCGTCAAGTGAACGAACGATGATGCTGCTCCGATCACGTTGGCGTAATTCATTTATAGGGACCTTCGTACACTCGTATTCGCGAAACGACCCTCTTGCATGGCACAGTAACATCGGCAGTTTTAATTATCGAAGATCCATAAATCTGGATATCGAGGAATATATCCAGCGCACGGATATCCGTGCCGTGAATGCACATTCCGCTGGATCGTATTCCCTCTCTCTCTCCTTTCCACTTCGCTTTCTTTTTGCCCGCCTACTCGTTTTCTTATCCGCTTGTTTACTTTTATTTACGGAAAACGGGGCGAGACGGGCGCGGAGAGAGAACGATAATAATTTCGCGCCACCGCGGAGAAACGGCGAAACTTTTGATCGACGGCACCCCCGGTCGGATCAACTTTTATTATTTATCGTTACTTTAAAGTCCGCGGTCGGTTTAGTCGGGTTTTACGGTTACCTTTAATGGGTGCCCAGTGCAGAACTTTCGGAACGACTCTTTGCCTTCACCTCTTTATGCGGTGCACTTAGCAGCACCCCGAACAACCCCTTTTCATGGGAAATCGATGGAAAACGTATCAGGCCGGAGAATGGCGTGACGCACGGAGTGAGGAGCAGAGAGAGAGAGAGAGAGAGAGAAGCGAAGGACATTGTCGACTTGCATGCACGGGCACCACGTGTACACGTGTACACGTGTACGTGTGCTACGTGGTGTCGCGCTGTCGTTTTAGCCGGATACACAAAGCGAGCTGTTTTCTGTTTCAGCTCGGCGAGAAGGTAAATCCTGAGCTGCAGATCATCACCAGTGTGTTCAACAAGGTCGTACATCGAGGTGAGTATATCTCGCCGCACGCGTAAGCCAGGAAGGGAAGCGTAATACGCCCTTCTCCCGCCTCTTTCCCAAATCGAGCCGGAAATTTCGTCGTCCTTGGCTCCGCTGCGTAATATCACGCTCGGTTGTACGCACACTCAACGACGTGATAACTTTTCTTCTGTGTTCTTTCCCTCCTCCCCTCTCTCTCCCTCTGGTTCTGCCGAATTCCCGCGAAAGCGCAATTTGCACCCCCCCCCCTTTCTCCGTCCGTTTGGCCACGATGTCTGCTACTTCGCATTTGCTATGACGCGGTGAATAATTTCACATCTCGACGATCACGATTTTGTATTATTGATCAACGCGCATTAACGCACTCCCGAAATAAGCATATATCTCGAAAAATCCTTTCTCTCTCTCTCTCTCTCTCTCTCTCGGCGCGCTTGCGTTTTTATAAAGTCGTATCGACATTCATTCTGGCCTCTGAATGGCGCTGAATGGAGCCGGTACATCATTGACGTCGAGACGAAAATCAAGCGATGTGTAATAATTATCCATTCGAGATCGCTCTCCTGTTGGCACTTTTTACGACGTGCGCTGCGACGTAACGACAGACGACGTAACTACGGCGTATTGTGTCACCGGAACGTAAATCGCGAGCAAGCTTCGAATGCAGCGGCTCGATACTAATACCCTACAATATCGGCTAAATGCGTCATTGAAATCGTCTCGATGTTCCACCCTTCCCCGCTCGCTGTCCCCCCCCCCA